GGAATTCGTGACTCTCAAAGTCTCAATACTAGATAGTGAAATGTTTATATTTACTTCATTTGTTTTTATTTTACGTTTATGTTATTGTTATTGTGTGTACATAAGATATACAATACATTTTAGAAGGACTATTGTTTGTATATTTTGCCTCACAGAAAAGGATGATTTAACCCCAACATCTTCAAAGAACCGTATAAACAATTAGCATTTATAGAAAACTGCGCAATGTAACACAAGTTAACATAAGTTGACATAATGTAACATAAGTTGTCGTTCAGAAGAACAGTTATAAATTTATTATAATACAATAAAGTCTTATTATAAAACACTTTGTTGTGTTATAATTTAGTCATTATTTTTTTATCAAATTATAATACAATAAAGTTATAAACTTTATTGTATTATAATTTGATAAATAAATAATCATATTTTGCTATTTTTGTATGTCTAAAAATAACTCCATATAAGGTCATATTTTTTCAATAGCTTATGACTTTAAAGTTTTAATGAGTAATCGGTTTATTTCACAAAATGAAATCTAACGATGATTAAGTGGCAACACGCCGTTTTATTTATTTATATAGGATCGTTATTTAATGTAGGCTTGTAAGCTATCTAGAAATTTCCCTAGACTGACTAGAACTGGATTTAATATTTACATTTTCGCGCTGGCGAAATCGGAGAGAATAACTTAGAACGTGTATAATTTCTAAAAATATATAGGCAACTGCTAACTTTAGTTATGTGGCGATAGTAGCATGTACACATTATAAAATTTGTTGCCAGTTGTGTCAATTCGTTTATTTGTTCCCGCCAAATGTTATAAGCTGTAAATGCATACCTTTCATATCATACTTAAAAAACTAATTTAGTTCATCGTAGTATGATATTATATATTATGATATTGTACTAGTGTACATACAATTTTTTCCCTATAAAGAGACTCATGTAACGGGACTGACTAACAAGTTAATGAGTATATCGCCATATATACGTGAACAGAATTCCTTATTCCGGAGAACTGAGGTATATAGGAGGTATAAGGTATTATGCCTCTGTACCTTACAAGCTTATAAGACAAATTTCTTATGGGCTGAAATAGGTGATATATATTTATAGGTATTTATGCAGACATCTTTTCGTAATATTGTTCAATATTAATCCACAGAGGAATTTAATAAATTGATATTTATAATATGAGTACCTAAGTACGAGTATAATAAACTGGTAGGTAATCATTGTCCAAGTATATTACCTACCACTACTACTAACCTTGGTGGCGCGGCGTATTGTAGTATTATCTGTGCTTTAACATAGTGCCTCACATTCTGATGGTTACATGTTCCTTGTGCACACAATGCGAATACTAGGTAGGTATATATAAATAATAATTGTTTTGGCACAAAGAATTATATACACATATGTACATATATACAGAGAGAAAGCTGTTAAGCTAGTGCTCATTGTTGAGTTTCATAATTGTTGCAGGGAAACATATAAAAATTGTAATCTACTCGGACTCGGCAGACATTATCCTGTCCGGAAAAACTGGGCCATTTACCGGGTCACATTGTAGTTTCAAACCATCTATGAACCCATTGAAATATGCGCACAAAATGACATTCAATCGATCCAGACGTTTAAGTGTTATGTGACAAATACATGTACAGAAGATTTATATAATCATACATAGGTACATTCTAACTGTATTAGTCCTTGGAATCGTGATGTTCAGAAGTTTTCGTATTGGTTATATCTTTGTTTAATTAGTATCTATCTCTAGTGCTCTAGATATAGTAGATGGTTATCTATCACTTTCTCGATAAGGTAGTGTACATGTTTGCACTCCATGTAGTAAGTGCTCTATGGTTTAAGACTCTGTAATCGAACCGAAGTTCAGACTCAATACTTTACCTACTACTAATTATTTGTTCAGAAGGTAGTTTGCTGACCTAACAAGACCATCCCCTTTCAACCGGCACTTAACAAGGTATACAATGTCTTTCATTAATGCAAATGAATCCTTTATATGGGCTTAGTACGAAAATGCAAAATCAACACTATAAAATCTAAATTCTAGTCTACCAAAGCTACTTCTTGTTGGTTGTTCTTGGTCCGTGCGTAACTTACCTCATATTTATCTAATCATATTTTTTTTATATTATTTTTTCAGAACTCTTTTGGTTGAAGGGATAAGGCAGTGAATTTACAGAAAAGGGTCGTGACATCTTAGTCATCCGGAATGTTAACGCATATGTATATAAGAATACTGTAATGCTGAATAAATGTCTTTATTATTATATTATTAATATTGCGGGCGTTTTATTATAACGGTATGCCCCTAGTGCTGTTCAAGTATATTGGAAACAGTTACTATGTTACTATCAGGTTGGCCGTCAGCTTGTTTGTCATTGCAATTACATAAAAAAGTATTTATAGTAAATCTCGGATCTTTGTAGGGTAGCAAGATTTTACATATAGAGAACATACTTTCAGAACATAGATTTGAGATTCGTTTTATTTAATAAAGGCATTATTGTTGTAGTAATTTTATAACACCTACCCGGCGCTAATATGTATATTTGTGTACTCAAAACGATACTTCATTTTTATACATGCAATATAGCACTATCATATCTACCGAGCTCACATTCTTCATAGACAACATGTTTGTTGTTTGCTAACGCAAAAAACTGCAATTTGCGAACTATGCGGATACAGTCTGTATCTATCCCATTCGAGATTTTATACTACGAATAAATGATGGCTACTCAGATTTATGCTCACGATATTGTGAATAACATCCGCTGCTTTAGTTATAGCTTTATTTTTGCGAAACGTGTATTATGTTATAAGAAATACAGTATTAAGCAGCAATAAATTACCAGAGTAAAGTATTTCAGTGCTAATGTTTTCTCTGTGTGGTCACAGAGTACAAGAATAGAATGTGTTACCGCTGCCTTTTATTAGTAGAATGTCATAAGAGGCGACTAGGGAATCAAAGCATAAATGCATCAGTCAAGCGTAACATATCTCGCAGTAAAATTCTATATCAAGCCAGGCGCATGTTAATACTAAAATAATTGTCAAGCCTTTTTTGCAGGAGATACTAGAAAACAACTAAGGCAGATAAATAGAGACCTTAGTCGTTTTCTAAGACAGATCTTTCTGCATTTGAAGAAGAAAGGTAACATTACTTTATTGTCTAAATTATCACCTTAGTCTAAATACAATATTAATAATATCCTCCAATAATGCTGTGTCAGCGAAGTGAAGAAAGTAGACAAATGGCTTTTACCGATTACCCAAAATCGAAAGAGACTGGAATCTAATAAAAGAATCATCGACTAAAGATTGTCTACTGAAACAAAAACAAATATTACACCTTATCTTGATTAGATACATCTAATCTGAGCTCGGGCATGTTATTGACCTTGAGTCGGTCCTTTATACTTATATGTTTGTATATTGACATTGTTGTTACCTATAAGATAAAGTATATTAGAACAAATTATATTGTATTACACGCAGCGAACATATTACTCCAAAGAGTTTGTTCCCGTATTATTTTACTAATACCCAAAATAGTACTAAAATTAAAAAAAAAACACATTTATTCTTAACTACTACTACAGTAGTCAAGATTAAATCTTAGGTTTTGCTTGTCTGCTGATATCAGTCATACATGGGTAGAGAAAGGGTAAAAGAGTAATACTTCTGACTAATACATAAATTTTGAATGTGTTGTAATTTTATATTAAACTATGTAGTCTATATCAACTATATGACTATATAGCTGCTGGATACATAAGCTATTCAACAATAAAAGATTTTTCAAAATTGGATCAGTAGTAACTCTTTATATTAGTATTAAGCACAGATAATGTTACGTAGTATTAAGTAAGATTTTTAAAATACAAATTAGGTACCATTAATTAGTTCAATGTACAGGTAATCTTTTCCACTCCATTCCCTGTAATGTAAGTGAGTAAATAAATGATGATGTAGCACGCGAACTACCTCTGCATATTACTCGTAGATACGTGACTACGTGAAATGCCAGGATTGTGCAGAGTCTGATTAATTTGTACAACCATAATTAAGAGTTTCGTTTTTTTAATTAATGTGTAATTACGTTATAATTATGTCGTAAACATTAGTGTGGCCTATTTCAGTAGTTATTCAGCATGTTATAAAAGGATAACGGTCGTGGTGATCACAAAATGTGTCATGCCCACATTTGGCTAGGTATTTTATAATTTCACACGCTAGGGGGCGAATCTACCGTCGTCTCTTGCATTAATTTTTTATTTATCTTGTGTGTTTCCACTACCGAATAGTTCATAGGAAATATAAGTTTTTTGATATCAGGCACATTTCAATTATAGACCTTTTTTGATGAAAGTCGTGGTAATAAACTACTATGCCACGACTCGCTGTTTGTCTACAAATTTAGAGTAGGTATTTAAATTTATTGCTGAATAATCTGTACGACCTATTTAAGGACAGTGAACTGAGACTTGTGGGCGAATTTATCGGCATCCTGCCGTTATTCTAGATTAAGACCGTAATCGAGCTAACTGATTCTTTGTATTGAAGTGCACTGCACCCGTCCTCGTGGTATATACAGACCGTTTCATTAGCTAATGGCTTAATTTATTATTTAAAGTCTATGTTCCATTGCTTCGTACTTACGGGATTTACTTGGATTTTAATTAATTATACAGTACTTTGAATTTTTTATACGCATTAGAATCACATATTATCTAACAGTCCTTGGATATTATATATGTCTTCACACCAGTTCTCGTTATAGAGTAGGCAAAAGCCCAAGTATCAAAGATCTCTCATCTTTTGCTTCAAACGTTTTCTTATCTGTTCTCATAAAGTTCTTCTTAATTCGTTAGATAGATTTGTACAGGTACTATACTTAGTGTTTTCCAGACACTCCTTTTTTAATTTGTACATATATAATAATAAATAATACATATATACATGGGGTATAGAATATAAGAGATACAAAATAAATTTATGGGATAGTCAAAAGCATTGTGAGTTGTCTACGTCGTGGTATACCCGAAAACTGACATAGGGACCCACATTTCTGCCTGAATACTATATATAGCGAAAGAGCTAATGTATTAGCTGAAAGTATTTTTCTCGACTTACTGCGGATATACTCGTATATCCGTAGTAAGTCGAGAAAAATACTAAGTAAGTCGAGAAGTACTCATAAGTAAAATACTTATTAGTAAATAGCAATAAAAGTTAAAAACTTTCATTTTAAAGTTTACATATTATATGTAGCATAGCACGACATAGTATAGCGTGGTCTTTTCGATTTATTTATTTATTCAAAAGCAATATCAAAGATATTCACAAGTAAAACGTATTACTGTGTGCTAAAAGCATGTGTAAAAGCCGGATGGCTTTATGCACAGTGCTGTATGTCATGTAGCAAATACATATAAGCTAAAATTTGTACAGCTTATGTTTTACACTTGTTTTCAGAGGCAGAATGCGACGGGTGTGGCAGCGAAAACGACGAGGGTCGGAATGTAGGGGAACTGTTGCTGCCGCAGTACGCCCTCGCGACTGGTGGCCTCGCCAAGGACCACAGACCACTCATCACCTTCCCCGACAACAACAACTTCCATCTGCTCACTGCTTCGGAATATAGACGGCTGTTACTCTACCTCACGTCTGTACCATCGTACGTATTTTTAAAGCTTATTTAGTATCCTACTAATATTATAAATGCGAAAGTTTAGTAATGTGGATAGATAGATAGATGTTACTCTTTCACGAGTATAAACTACTAAACGGATTTATATAAAACTGTACAGTAATATAGCTTATACATCAGAATAGCACATAGGCTATAAATTTAATGCGGGTCAAACCGCGGACACAACTAGTATCCTATTCTTCAAAGGAGGGAGTGCTTTGAAGAATAGGATACTAATCCTAAGCTTCATTAAGCCATGTCTTATCATCGAAATAGTCCAATCATCGACCCACTTTCGCTTGTTTATACATACTTATATTTGTTTGAAATAGTTTGCACAAATTGTTTATTTGCTCTAAACTAATGCTGCAAACAGAATAGATTTCTTTATTTATATTAAAAATACAGTAATATAATAAAAATGATTTCATTCGTTGTATATTACTTTTTAATGGATAATGTTGCAAATTTTTTGCACTTTTATATGTATTATTTTTGTATTAATTTTGAATCTCTTTTTTACAAATTATACTATTGTCATTATATATTTTTCACTGTTCTTATTGTCCATATCTATATAATAACAATTTGCCTTTTTATCCATTGTTTCACTCATTTTACACATACAGTTCACTCAACTTTCGTTCACAGATACACTCAAAATATTATTGACGATTTAAATATTCTTTCAGCAGAATAGTCAACTATTTTACGCTAGTTTGTTACTTTTAACAGCCTAAAGTGTGAAAGGCAAAAAAGAACAGAATTATTACATCAATTATAATCTAGTAAAAATCATACAGCTCTATTTAAACCGAAACTAAACACATTTTGTGGTACAGATACTAAAAAACTAATAATAAATATATTTTGTTTTTTAAATACATACATAGAAAACACTCAGACCTATTATACAAACAGTCATACTCACTGAATAAAAATCGTATGAGAAACGAACTTGCGACTATCGAATATAGAACTAGGTTGCTGCGGCCGCTAGACTACCGAAGCCGTCATTTAAGAATTAGCAGATGTAAGATATAAGATATATAAAGTCTACAATTCTTTATTTCCAAGCTTTTGGTGGAATGGATGCCATCATGATTTAGTTACTGATGCAATAATTGCTAAACGTAGTGATGTTATAAACGTGAACGAACATACTAATAACTCATAGCTTGTGTGTAATAAAACGAGAACAATAGCATGCATCGTAGATCACTTTGTGATCATGACAATCTGACAGATATAACTTTTTTAAAATAAAATGGTTTACTAAATTGAATTAAGATTTATGATCTGTCATAGTCACCACAATGTTCTAATTACCATGCGTGTGGTAACAGTCTCTATTTCTTATTTAAATTTTACAGACATACAGACTTGATTTTAAGAGTACAGGGAATAACGCAATATTTAAACATATTTTAGAGTTCCTCTAAATAGTTGTTTTTTATATGAGAGAAATTATATTATTTAAGTAAAGACCAGCTTATACGTAATCTAAATAAAATTAAATACATAAAAATCTAATGTCCACTTGTATTTTTCCTTCTATCGAGGTCGATATCCTCTACATTCGAACTATTACCGTCTAGAATATTACAAACCTGGGAAAAAGTTGTACTTAAGGATTTAAAAGTAGGGTTAGGAATTCAATTAATTACTCAAATAAACCTTCGATTCTTTGATCATATTGACGTAATGTCAATCGCGATATTTTTATCAGAGAGATACCAAGAAGAATCTGGTGTACGGATAGATGTGATACGTATATATTTTTATTTGCAAGTATTCACAATCAAACGAAGAAACGGTACTTGATAGTATTGATTTAATACCTACCGACAAATTCCCTGTACAAACAAGGCAATCGATTCGTTCATATTGGCCTAAAAGGTATCCCGGGCTTCGCTAAAGCTATTTACATAATTAGATTCTTTCTTGTTTACATTATATGAATACTAAGTACGAAACAAAGTTATTAGATATGCCTATTTAAAATCTAACAAGTTTATTCAGTAACGTATTCAGTTTAAATTTTTGGTACGGTTTGGTCTTTGCTATTAACAATTGTTACGTTACATTAAAATATACGTATATTAATGTGCCACAATAAATAAAAAGTATGCATACAATAATGTTGTTAATCAGGAATTTTTGTACAGTAATAATCATACAGTGTACATCAAGATAAAATCCATATAGGATACATACAAAACTGCGATACTTTCTGTTGCATCGCAGTTTTGTATGTATTCTGATATCTAGAAACAAAGTGGAAATCTATAATAGGAATTTATAACGAAATAATAATAAATATGAATTAATTAATTTTAAAAGTGTACTTACACCTTTCTGTTTTGTCTACATATGTTCTTCTCCCTCTTTTTCAGGATATTAGAAGCAGATATGGGCTTTCATTTAATAATAGATCGCAGAAAGGACAGATGGAACTCAGTTAAGACAGTATTATTAAGGGTTTCGGTAAGTACTATCAGTATCACTACACTATTTATACATAGTAAAAGAATAATATATTTTTAATTCATGTACCAAATACTAATACTTCATTTAGTAAAAATATGATACATTTTGAAAGAAGCACTTAGTAACAACATTTGTTCTTACATGTGAGAGCAATATAAAAATATATTCGAATTTAGAATCTGCTTTTATTGAATCACGCCGGAAGAAACTTTCCCAAAATGGAACCGGGCGTCCAGACTACGGTAGGCTACGGTACGCTATCAAGCATACGGCCCATCTAAACAAGATGGGCCGTATGCTTGATAGCCACAATTATAACATAGAAAAAACCGAATGACATTCAACTTGTCTCACCAAACTTGATATGTAAAAAAAACTATAAGATACTATGTTAAGTATAATAAAAAAAGTTCTTATGTGTCTATGAAAATAAATTCAAATTTGTATCCAACGATAACTATCTACTATCCAACGATAATATTTAAGAATAATTTTTAATACACCATTTGAATTCATTATTTCATAACTTTCAGGAATTCTTCCCCGGTATTATACACGCAGTGTACGTGTTAAGGCCGGCAAGTTTCCTCCAGAAAGCCTTATCTGAAGTGAGCAGTAAACTGTTCAAGGAGGAATTTAGATTTCGGGTCCTCGTTTGTTCCTCTATCGATGAATTGTACGAACATTTCGACAAATCACAACTAACGCCTGATCTCGGGGGAGACTTACAGTATTCACATGCAGAATGGATACAACAGCGGATAGTAAGTAGAAATTAGTAATTATTTTATAGAACAATATTTATATTATATACAAATAAAATCATAAACACTTCTCTTGATCCCTGAATAAAATAAACGCGTCTACATATTGTGTTTGAAAGTACTTTATGGTTACGTTACTTGACGGCTTCTATTTCGTAAATAATTTATACATTTGCTATATATTCAAATCACTATTTTTCTTTAACTGAGTAAATGGTAAAAATAATTTTGGTGCCACTACTACGGGTATGCGAAGTGTCATTATTACAATACAATATAAAATCCTATTTAAATTTATATCTATTGAACTAGATACCAGGGTCATGATAATTTGCAAGTTGTTTATAATTTTTTATTACTCTTAATAAAGGTTCCGTTCGCTTTTTTTTTATTGATAACAAAACACAAAAATTAAATTTCGTAATCTTTTTATATTATATTTACGTTTTAATGTAATTAGGATTTACTTATATTTATTAACCACATGAAAGTAAGTAAAGACCTGGCGACATCTATCGGCTAAAAGTTGTATCTGTAATTCCTCGCCACTAACATAGATGTTGCTAAATGTCAAATAAGATATTGTATTGCTGTTACACATTCCTAAATCGCACTATTAAAGTTTTTTATGTAATGCTATAAAAGACGGGCAAAGTTTTCTTTTGAATTACTTATTGTTCGATGATGTTTATAATCCTTGCGCACTGAAGATTGTGTGGATATATGGGACACCCCCACATAAGCCGATCGCTATGTAGGGAGTAACTGAGAACAATATAATAAATAAACTAATTACATAGGGGTGTGGTATAAAAGATCTATACCAAAATTATAAATATGATGAAATGGGGAAGTGTGTCTGTCTGTCCATTTGTTTCCTTTCACGGCGCAGTGGATCCTTTATAATGTTGAGTTAAATTGCAAATAGAAGGTGTTTCATTTAACAGTTGTCAGACGTATAATAAAATGTTCCTGTGTAAGAATAAGAATGAAAACCATATTTATTATTTACTAGCTACGTTTATTAATTATTACTTATTTAGATGTTAAAGATTGATAATATTATTTTTTAAAAATGCCTCCGTAATGATCATTGAATTTTTTGTTGTGTTAATGAATGTTTATTTCCTGTTTTTAGGCGCTGGAGAAGTTCTCTACTCTTATGAAAGAAATTTCAAGTAGATTGGACCACTTCATGCATGAGATAGTGGACTGCGATATGGGCAATGACCCTACACAAACCAAAGAATTATTAGACTGTCAGGAATCTAGGTAAATATGTAATTTCTTAATATTGATTTATTTGTGTGATTATGAGACCATTATACCCAATATAGAGAAGTATTCACCTGCATTTAACATTAATGCAATATAATAATCTGTATAAAATTATTATTAGAATGTATATGTAATATAGTATAAATAGCTAGTTCAAAATTGACACGGTGCGGTGATACGATAATCACCTGGAATTATAACTTAGTGACATAGTTAAGTAATATCTCGAAACTACCATCCATATTCATTCAAGAATTTTCAGAAAATCATACTATCATTACAACATAATGTCTATACTAACGAAGATTAATAGTCAAATATTATTTTATTTCAGATATAAAGCTTTAAAAACAGAACTAACGTCAGCGACAGCGCAAGGCGAAGAGTTGTTGACGCAAGTGCGAAAACCAAATCTAACTTATAATATTATTAGTCACGTCGCTGCTGTAGAAAGGTAGTTTATGTATCCAAAACTTACGTTATAGTTGAATATTTTGGTACCTATTTTTTAATATTAAATTATTTTCTGGTTTGCAGACTATTAGTACAACTAGAAGAGACTGAAAGACAATTCGACAATTTCTGGCAGAGACATTCCATGAAATTAAACCACTGGTTAAAATTTAGAACGTTTTTATTAAATTTTAAACAAATGCAGGTAATTAGTTATAATACTACAGTTCCTTTATGTAAATCCTTTATGTTTTATAGATGTTAAGATGATAATGGCTTAAAATCAAAATGTGATTGCTGTCTACTCCTATTATGGCGGAAATCAAAAATTGGTGTTTTTGGCGAACATATTCTATTATGAGATTTGTCTATATCCTTAGCCGGTTTGAATACAAACGCCTTAGATTTTGATCTATTACGCACTAAAGCTGAAATATCCATACACTTATCTCGGTTATTATTACTTACTTCTATATCATTTATATGAATGTCTTTTCTTTTCTGGGCATCTAATTGAAATGTTAGCTTTTGTATTTTACGAGACTTTTCTTCTAAACGCGCTTTTAATTCTTCAGTTTGCCGTCTTTTCTTGTTATATTCTTCCTGTACAGATACTATTTTACGTTTACACGTTTCTAATTCGGCTTTTACTTTCTGCAGATTTAAACTGTTTACTTCTTCTAAACATTGAAGTTTCTCTCTCGCGTGATTCGCCATACTTTCTTGATATAGTGTTTCTTGTTCAATTTGATATGCCCAAAATGACATCGCTCTCATTGCGACATCCATAATTGCGTCAGGTTTTAAACCTGCTAACACTATAGATTTGAAAGTCTCACAAGGTTTCAAATCGGCTTGTATAACATCAAACTTATCTCGTAACTCACTCCCACAAGCTGGACAAGTTAGAGAATTTTCAGCATTTCTTTTGAATTCCCTCTGGCCATGTTCGATGCAGAATGCATGTGAACATGTTGTCACCCAAGCATGATTTGATAAAGATCTTCGACATTTGCGAAAATTACAAACCATATCCATAGACATTTTGCTAAATACTATTTTTACAACAACTATTTACACAAATATAACAAAATATTTTTAGGTTAGCTGTCAAAAATATTTTTTTAATACGTAATTAGCTACTTATTTTTTCTGCTAAAGCCAGTATTAATTTATATATGTATTTTTTGTAATAGAAACTAATTCACTAGCTATGATATTGCAGAAAGATAGATATGTGATTACAGATGAACAGTATTCGAATTTGAATTCTATTGGAATTTCTTTTATTATAATTTTAAATTATTTTCTTTCACAAAAAAATCCTATTTCCAATTTGTACTAGGTACCTACATGATCTAGTATTTTCAAACTAAATTAAATTAAGGAAAGTTGTTCTTTTTTTTATATTGTATATTATACAATTTTTTATTCAGTAAACTTTTTAGATATCAGTTTTTTTATGAAACTATACATATTATAGTTTCATAAAAAAACTGTTATCTAAATCAATATCATCGCCAAAAACTTAATGAATTTGTAATGGAAATCTTTTACCCTACCTTGCTTTAATTTTTAATAAAACATTTACTAAACTATTTTCTCTGTTCTTTAATGTACAGGCTACTTTAGATGGCCATCTAAAAACCGCGTGCGATATGACCGAAGTGGGTGAAACGGCAAGCAGAGTTGAAAATCTTATACAGGAGGCTTGTGATTTCGAAAAATTGTGTAACTGTGAGCTTGATACTGCCAAAGCAGTTATAGATGATGGTAATATATTACATATCATTTAATTATTAGTTGATACAGTATTGATTATCTATGACATTACAATTTTTTTAGCCATTGTCTGACATTTCAAATAAAGAATCAAATATTTCATAACAAATATTTTTGAATTAAGAATTAATGATTAGTATGCAAGTCAAAAAGATACTTTATTTTTAAATATCGTATTCTATATATGTATTATCACAATCATTTTAGGTGAGCAGTTGATGCAGGACCCACTCAGCTCTGTCGACCACATAGAGTCAAAATGTGAGGAACTGAGACGAACAAGTGCTTTACTTATCGATAAAATACAAAAACGAAACTTATTACTAGCCAAAGCGAGAGAGCTGATGGACAGGATAGATAAGGTAAATATTATTTTTACCAGTAACCAAATAACCACCAGGTTTTAATTATTACACTGTCACTTCAATAGAATTTTTGTTTAGATGATAATTGAAAGTTAGTTGATTATATGTATTGAGTATTGTCTTTGATTTTATATAAAAGAGTAAAAGTATAAAGTTCTATGAAAAAATATTGCTATGTGCTCAGAAAAAATATAGGTATCATCATTTCATTAATTATTTACCAAAAAAATGATGAGTTAAGTTAATAGTTTTTTTCTGTGCCGTAATTATGAATTGCTTCTGGAAAAGATTTAGACATGTTTTCTACACCATATAGCCTTATAGGTATATGCTTGTGCTTACTAAATTTGAAAAAAGATAAATTGAAATCAATTAAATAAATTAACTGCAAAATATAAATGCACCGTCATTATGTAGTAAATGTCTTAATCCCGTAAAGAACCTACAGAAAAAAAAACAGTTTCGTATAGTTTTTTTGTTTTTCGTGAATCGAGTTACAATTAATTCACAAATGTTTCGTAGGCGAACGAGTGGTGTGCAACTGGAGTTGAATTACTGGCCAGCGAGAGGGGACTGGGGGCGGTGGATAAGTTGCTAGAAGAGGCCAAGTGCTTCGGTTTGACTGCACCCGAACAGTTCCGGGAGATGATGATGCAGTCAGCCACGCAGGAGACTAGGGCACTGGTTACGCAGGTATAATAAACTTATTTATTTTGTAAGATGTGTTTATAAAATTTGCGTCTCAAAAAAAACAGTTTATAACTGTTTTTTTTTAATAAATATATATTATTAATATTTAACAGCCTTTGTAGTTTACTGCATTAACATACTGTCTCACATTCTTGTGGTCAGAGCGACGGTTCAATCCATTCACAAACAAATACTCATATTTGATGTGGTTGCAATGATGTATTAAAAAAAACAACGAGTTCACTGCAGCAGGCCCTTTCTTTTTTTTTTAATTATAGGTATAAACTTAAAAAAATAATTATATCTTTCGTAGTTACTATTATACATACAGTGCAAACTGTGCTCCTTAGTGGTCTAAAGATAGGCCACAGTCTTACTATAGATGTAAATTAAAAATAAATATTAATATAATATGTAATATTATAATTTTGTATATAACCTACGGTAGCTGTATAGATGTACTTTCCAGTAATAATTTTTATTATGTTATTAATTTTTACTAAATTAGACTTGTACAAAGTCATCTGTTTTGATACCTCAGACACTTATTTGGGGGCGTCCATAAATTACGTGAGATGTTTAAGGGGGGGGGGGGGGGGGGTCGTGTCAAATCTCCTATAATCTTACGTTGGAGAGAGGGGGTGTCTCGGCAAATATCACGCAATTTGTTTTCTGATTGAAACAAAAAAATATACTATTTTGGTCCATTTAATCCAGATTGTACATGATTTGTACACTTATAACTTTCAGCAATATTGATTACTAGTCTTAACTAGTCGTAAATAAAAGAACGAAGCAATTTTTTTTTCTTTTTACATTAACAATCCAACGCATTTACGTAAGAAGCCCACATTTTGAAAAATCTTACGTGACATTGGGGGATAGGCTGAATAAAATAGGGAAGAAGAGAAAAGATAGGGTTGAATAAAATCTCACAACATCTCACCAGGGGGGGAGAGAGGAACAGGAAATTCTAAAAAACACCGCGTAATTTAAGGGCGCCCCACTTTCGGCCGCCAAACAGCTTATTTTGGAAGCTGTTTCGGTAAAAGGTGAAGGGCATAATATCTTAGTCTTTCGGAATGGCAACACTTATCTAAGCGGTTGCCATTCCAAATTCATGTTTTGTAATTATAAGGCCGGTCTATTTTTAAGCCATTATATTATTAAGCTAACATTAAGTGACAAGTCCGTTTTGACTTTTAGAGTCACCAGAAATGTGATATTATGTTAATAAAAAGACATTTCGTAGAAACAAGCCTAAGATTAGTTGAATACCGTTACGTTTGGTCAGACATTCGAGGTCATTAGTTGTCATCCTAATTTGTAACGCAGTGGTACAAAATGTAAGTTTTTAATAGTAACAATTGACATAATAATAATATTAATACTACCTGGACAGTTCACACTACGCCATCTAGACCCAAGTTAAGCAGAGCTTGTGTTATGTGTAGACAACTGATATAACTGAAAACTAAAATACTCAGGTACATTTTTTTTTGTAAATACGTACTTAAGATATATAGAAATCATCAATACAAACAATCATACTACTGAATACAAATGTGCGAGGAATCAAACCCGCGACCATCGGATGAACAGCGATGTGTTAAACCGCTAGACCACTGAGGCTGTCAAATAAAATATTATATATGTATTCGTTTGAGTCTCCCGGAATGTTATCCTAAAATATTCCTACCGTCCTGTTAGGCTGAGTACTTTGGTTAAGAAGAACTGGTCGGTAACTCAACTGGCACATGTGGACTAATGACCCCATTGCAAAAAACTGACGTGATTTCATGCTCATCTTATCATTCTCCAATGGTGCCATATGCTATATGATAAGATGAATGTCAGGATAGTTATACTATCTGGCCAAATTCACCTGGATTTAACATGATGGTTTCCAAGCGAAACGGCGTTGATGTCAATCTGACATGATACATTCCAATGGGGTTATTAATCCACTAACAATCCTCTTCCACCCGGACGTTACCTATGTTTACCATTTCAGTAACATTAAAAAACATTATAGGTGGCACAACGAGTGGAGGACGTGTGGGTGATGGTGACTGTGAAACGCGCAACACTACAAAAGGCTGCCGTCAAGCCAGCACGGCCGGTGCAAACTGTGCCGCCGCAGAGCGCCGCACTAGCACAAAACAACCATCAGGTAAGTCGTAAAACTAAACCACCAGTCTTCTAGAACAATCTTGCAATATTCTCGAAAAATTAAAATACTATTCAGTCATAAAAAAATTACAGTCACTTAAAAAAAATCGGAAAGCCACATTGGCACAGATAAAACCCATAACTGTTTCTAAACAAAAGAAAGAGAAAATAAATAATTAATGATCATAAAAAAATATCTTTTTTTTTATTTTAATTTAAAACAATAGATTTTTTTTATATATTACTTTTAACAAAATAATTAAAGTCAGTAGGAACGTAAATTTTAAAATTGAGGTTTTTTTATCTATTATCATACGGGCTTGCGTAACTGGGCCTTCCCGAAGAAAAAGATTAAGTTTCCAAAAGCATAAAATAAATTAAGAAAAAATCGTGGTTCCTTAAAAAAGATGTTATTGACATATGAAAATGAAGTATCAGTAAAGTTTAAGACCGACTGTCAAGCTAAAAGGATACCTACAGGTTTATTTTTATGTCGTCGCTTTATGCGGATAAATAAGTATACAATACAATCAAATAAAATAAAAATCATCATTAAATAAAAATATCAAATTAAAATGTGTACTATTAATTAATATTTTATCTTAGTTATAATTTGTATCTCTACAATTAAATCAAATTCATGATTAAGTAACTAATACCTAAACATCTGCGAACACTTTCAAATTTACAATATTACTGAATATAGTTTTTACATCACAGTAAGACTTTTAGATGTCAAAAACTTGTAATATTATCATTATGTAACGTGAATATTCGAAGAACAGTCGACGAATTAATGCAATATCATGTTTTTAATTAACAGTTGATATGGAATTAGAACAGAAATAAAATCGTGATGTGTCTACTTCATACACATTATGCATTTATATTTATATCCCACGTACGGAAACGGAATCTACGTTCAAGAGCATAAAACCGCCTCTCAGCAATATCACGAGATCCCGAGAACACGGGTTCACAAGAATTTTTGAACGGTAAGTGTACCACATAACGACCGTGCTCATTCCGATGTGTAGTTGCGATATATTCCTTCTCGCAAAGAATGTCATCTGGGGTAAATGAATTAGCTTGAGGAACGTTATCGATTTCCCAGAACTTCTCCACTAATTTTGTAAGATCATCATATTGGATCTTTGATTGCAGCGCAACCAATGACGAACCTGATAATGAAGTCTTTCCTAGTAATAGCCAACCAAATACTGAATTAAATGCAGGTGGTTGTGATGGACCGCCCTTAAGTCGTTCTGTAAGTAACGAATCCGCAAAAATATCTGCACCGAGCAACAGATCCACGGGTCCGGGTACATCAAACCCAGGGTCCGCTAAATCTAACGATTTGATATGTGACCAACCAGAAGTATTCAATCTCGCGATTGGTTGGTCACCACAGATCTTAGGAATGACGTGCATGTCAAGTTCAAATGATACGTTTGTATTATTTGTCGATAAGCTTCCTACGATACCACGCACTAAACCACTGATGGAAGCTGACACGTCACCCAAGCCGCTTATTGAAGAACAAGAAGAAAGCACATTAAGATTTAAACGATTTACTGCTTCTTCAGTAATAAAATTATTTTGACTGCCGGTGTCAAACAATGCTCGAAAAGTATTGTTATTCCCGAAACTGTCCTTTACCGTTACAAGAGCTGTTGCTAACAAGACAGTTGTGTTAACACTTGAATTTTGTGTTAACAGTGATGAAGTGTTACTGGAATTTGTTACTTCCCTATGTAACAATGTATGCTCCAAGGCTCGCGTAGCTCCTTTAAAGAAGCTCAGCTTACCACGTCTAGAATTATGTGCGGCAGTATTATTGGTGAATTTGCTCAAATTCGTGGAAGAGGCATATGCTCCGCGTATTAATTTCTCTGTCACTCTATGGAGTGATTCGACTGTCGTTCTCTCGTGGCTTAGATCACATTCATCAAAGTGGACAACTTTTGTTGCAAACCGAGTTAGTCACATACAAGGCATTGCAACGATTGAACGGTGGCGTCATGTTCCTACAAATGATAACCCTGCAGATATTTGTTCGCGAGGACAGCTTCCTCGACAACTTATTAACAATTCGTTATGGTGGGCGGGGCCCACGTGGTTATGTAAACCACACACCGAGTGGCCATCAACCCCTGTATTTGTTAAGGAAACAAATGACAATACGGTGCTTTCAGAAGTTAGGCGAACCGCGACTCTGTTAACTCAACAGATGGCACATCCTAATCTCGATCCTTTTTTTGAGGATTTACTCAATAGCGATCTCTCGCTGGATGCAATAGTCGATAAGGTAGGCTTCACTATATTACGAAAATCTGAATTTTCTTCGGATTCAGTCTTGACTAATGAAGAACGGTACAAATCACTTTATATTCTAGTAAAATACGTTCAAACTTTATCATTTCCTACTGAACTAGAAAGAATACGTTCTGGTCAATCATTACCAAAGTCGTTTCGTAAACTCAATGTATTTATCGATGACCAGGATGTACTCAGGGTGGGCGGCAGGATCTCTCGTTCTGGGCTTGAGTATGAACAAAAGCATCCGGCGTTATTATCATCGAATAATCCCTTCACATCTAAATTAATACAATCGGTTCATTTGAGCAACTGTCATTGTGGCGTAAATACTACACAATATTTAATACTGCAACAATTTTGGATTGTATCGGCTAAGCGCGTTATAAGACGATGTTTATCCAAATGTCTTAATTGTTATCGACTCCAACCTAAACCGTTACAACCGTTTATGAGCGACCTTCCAAAATATCGTGTAAATGAAGTAAAACCTTTCTCTATTGTAGGAGTAGATTATGCTGGTCCGTTTCGTATTAAAACTGGACCATATCGTGGAGCTAAAATAGACAAGGCTTATCTTTGTTTATTTATATGCTTAGCCACTAAGGCTGTACATTTAGAGACCGTTTCCAGTCTTTCTACAGACGGATTTATTGCTGCTTTACGTCGTTTCGTTGCTCGGAGAGGCAGATGTTCCACAATACACGCAGATTGTGGTACAAACTTTATCGGTGCTCGTAATCAACTCGTGTCTCTCACTAAAATCGCGTCTGAGACAGAACGGATCGAATTTAAATTTAACCCACCCTCTGCACCTCATTTCGGAGGTGTATGGGAAATTCAAATACGAGCTGCAAAAACGCATTTATATCGAGTTGTAGGTGATCAGGTGTTGACATTCGAGGAACTAGCTACACTTTTTAGTCAAATTGAAGCAGTCCTGAACTCGCGGCCTTTGTATCCTATGAGTTCAGATCCCAATGATTACCAAGTCTTAACACCAGGACATTTTTTAACTCTGGAACCATTGACATCTGTTCCAGATGTGGATGTAACTCACCTTAATGTCAACAGGCTAGATCGCTGGCAACTGATTCAGTCGTTCCAACGATCGTTTTGGAATCGATGGAGAAACGAATATCTCCACTCGTTAAATTTGCGAGCTAAATGGACAAAAGAGTCGAAGCCATTAGAATTAAACTCAATGGTCATTATCAAAGATGATAATCATCCACCTTTACATTGGCAAATAGGGAGAGTTGTAGAATTACACCCTGGACCAGATGGTCTGGTTCGCGTGGCTACCGTACGAACAGATAAGGATAATTTGATCAAGAGACCTTTGGTCAAATTATGCCCATTACCCAATGAACCGTTTTAATATTTATTATTTATATTTAGCCATCGTAGTTTTACATCGTAGGTATAGTATAGCATTAGTGAGTAGTTCATCTGTATTTCTAATAATAGTTTTTTTTTTATTAGTATCGTTTATGTGTATATTTTTATTTAAAGAAATGCCTATCGGATTTCGGTGGGCGGAATTATGTACCGTCCCAATCATAAATTGTGCATTTTTTATTCGCTTACCGCGCGTAATGTTTGGAGCGGTCACAATCGTAAGTTGGTTTGCGCGGTGAACCCACGCATGCACTTGGCTTGACATTCGCGCGGTCTGTCGTCTCGCAAATCGTGATATTACCGAATAACCAGGATAAATCCAGGAGAATACTCTTCGAAGCATCTCGTTGAAATTAAGGTGGAACCAGAACGTCGCACAAGACTCCATCCAAGTAAGTGCACGTATCCTTCTTATTAATTGTGATCGCTCCTGCAGTGATACCAGAGTGTGGCAGACGATCGAATTCCACCGCCTCACGGTGTCTGCTACATCTCTTTTTGGTGCCGAAACCCGGGATCTACGTTATACGATACGTTACGTACGATATTCGTTTCTCCATCGATTCCAAAACGATCGTTGGAACGACTGAATCAGTTGCCAGCGATCTAGCCTGTTGACATTAAGGTGAGTTACATCCACATCTGGAACAGATGTCAATGGTTCCAGAGTTAAAAAATGTCCTGGTGTTAAGACTTGGTAATCATTGGGATCTGAACTCATAGGATACAAAGGCCGCGAGTTCAGGACTGCTTCAATTTGACTAAAAAGTGTAGCTAGTTCCTCGAATGTCAACACCTGATCACCTACAACTCGATATAAATGCGTTTTTGCAGCTCGTATTTGAATTTCCCATACACCTCCGAAATGAGGTGCAGAGGGTGGGTTAAATTTAAATTCGATCCGTTCTGTCTCAGACGCGATTTTAGTGAGAGACACGAGTTGATTACGAGCACCGATAAAGTTTGTACCACAATCTGCGTGTATTGTGGAACATCTGCCTCTCCGAGCAACGAAACGACGTAAAGCAGCAATAAATCCGTCTGTAGAAAGACTGGAAACGGTCTCTAAATGTACAGCCTTAGTGGCTAAGCATATAAATAAACAAAGATAAGCCTTGTCTATTTTAGCTCCACGATATGGTCCAGTTTTAATACGAAACGGACCAGCATAATCTACTCCTACAATAGAGAAAGGTTTTACTTCATTTACACGATATTTTGGAAGGTCGCTCATAAACGGTTGTAACGGTTTAGGTTGGAGTCGATAACAATTAAGACATTTGG